GTCCACCAGTATGGAAAAAGACTGTAGTTACTCTTTTTATGTTCTGTATTCCGTCATTCTTTTGATGTATCTTTATAGGAGAAGTGGTAGAACATGGCATTGGCAGTTAGACTGCCACCTGTTCAAGTTTAATACTGATGTTATTAAGGAATGTTATGTTTATTAAGACTTATGGATATCTGCATTTCATTTAGCATTTGGATCCATGTTTATCCGTATGATTCTTGTATTTAGTATCAAATATGGTATATATATATGCAAGAACTTGCCCATTAAAATATATTTGTTTAATAAAATACTAAGTATTGGTTGTACAGTTTCACTTTTGTGGACAGAAATTTTATTTAAATCTGTGGGAGACTTCCAATCCAGCATAGCATCTCTACTAGTGGAACAGAGAAAAGTGGAAACTTTTATTAATGCAAAGGCTCCCCATCTCTAAAAAAGAAATGTGCCCAGAATATTGTGGGACACTGTTAATAACATGAAAATGATACTGGAGCTTCAGAATGAAAACAAGAGCTGTACTAGAAATCATGAGTTCTAGTCCATCCTTAGACATGGAAGTCAGCTGGCTGATATTGGGCCAGTTGCTCTACCTCAGCTCAACCTTACCTCAAATGGTGGTTATCATGGAGAAAATAGGTGGAAGGATGACTGTATATGCCACCTTGAGTTGAACAAAAAGAGGTGGTATATAAATTAAAAATGAATACAACAAAATAAAAATGGTTCCCCCAACTTCTGGATAGAGCATCTTAAATGAACTCTGCTTGACAAATGTCCCTACAGGAAGAAGGGAATTCTGGATCCAAACTATTTTATTTGATGGAACAGAGAAGGGCTGATCTGGGTCCACAAAAGCATAGTTTGTGTATTTCAATTTTTCTTCATATTGCATTATTTATTACTCTTAGGATAGGGTTGAGAAATATTCCCAGTTTTCCTGAACTGCTACTTCCTTTCTGTAAAAAAAATTTATATTGAGTTTTCTTTATATATAAAAACAGCATCTTGTGAAGGAAATACTTGATAAACGAAATAATTCAGATTCTACAACTGCAGTTTGTCTTCTTGTTTCACAACCAAGTGATCAGTACAGTCAAGAACAATGTGAATAGGTCTCTGTATTATGTACTAGAGTTTGTTTTATGTGAACTCTCCTAAGGCTGCCTTCATTCTGATTGAGATAGTGAGATACCTGACATGTTACATGAGAGCTGGCTTAGCTTCCAATTAGCTTCTGAGAAAATTCAGCGCTCTAATTTTTAACGTCTAAAGTGCTTTTCAATAATGATAAAATGTTAAGAGAGATCTCTCTGCATTAAGATCTGATAAAAATATTTTCTGACTGCATTTAATTCTGTGTTTCATCTGTGGACTGATGGAAACTCAAACATTTTTTTTGAGATCCTGATATTAATAGCAGCTTGCTCACAGCTAAGATTTTGGGGCTTTGGCGTAACATTTATTTTGGTTTTGCTGATGATTAAAGGAAAGAGGAGGTGATTGTTTTTTACATCTAGTAATAATGTTACTTTGGTAGTTTTATTCTGTACTTGGATGTTTTCATTGTTTATCTTGTTTTATATGATTAAGTTTGATAATACATTATAGTTGAATAGTGGTATTTGAGCAGGAACTGATCAATTTGGCAATGATACCCTGACCTGAAAAATATTACCAGTCTGTCTTCTAAACATGAAACAGTATATTACCAGCCAATTTCTATTTCCAAAGCAAATTTCTGTGATTCAAGTTAATCTTCAGGGAACAATTCAGGGTAAAAAGGTGGCTGGAGAAACTATGCTTAACCCTTTTTTCACCCTTTACATTGTCATTGGTGAGTCCTCTGGGAGATTTTTTTTTTCTGCTTTCCAGGTTCTGGCCAATCTCTAGAAGATGTTGCTTAATAATGTTTTTTCTCCTTTGGTCTATATATAGGATTCTTTTTTTTTTTTTTAATATGAAAGGGGAAAAAAACCCCAGCATCTTCCATGGCCACTGTAGCAAATCATG